ACACTGATTTAAATATATATGGTTGTGGCCATCTTGGATTTTGACTTGGCAATACATTTTTTTCTAGGAACATGTTCTACACAGATGTAGCCACACTACAATGGAAGTTGGTACGTCACTTTCTATTCAAGTTATCGTGTTAACAACATGCACGGATGAACGGAAGGAAGGTCTTTCCAATTCCCCGTCTTTGTTCTGAGACGGGGGACAATAAACGTCCTTGCATCTTTGAAAGAATGCCTATCACCCGCTGCCTTTACGCAACTGTTTGAACTTAACTTCTCTTGTGTTGAGAAACAACTAAGTTGTAGCCAGTTTGGTCAAATCTCTATAACATTATGCAACATTTCATATTGTATAGCAAGATGAGAAAATGTTGGAGATCAATCTTATCAAACTTTAGGTGTCAAACTGATTGAGCTAAAGAATGATTTGTGTTTGGCGGACACAGCTGTGGCAGCCATATTGAATGAAGTTGACTCCACAAGATATGAGTTGTTCACGTTTCGATTGCTTTCAAGGAGTTTCAATAAACTCAGTCTAGTTTGTAATGAGTTATTTTGCTAACGCTACCGACAAATGAACTACAGACACGGACAAATCATTACTTTTTCACCTTTTTCCTTAGCAACAGGCGATAACAAACCACAGAATACTAAAACTCTGGGTAAGTTTGGTCAACTCATAAAGTTCTGGCTGATGACTGAGTCAACGGTTAGAGGTTATTAAAACCAGCTGGGACTTCCCGTCTTTGCTCAGACACTGCAGCAGAGTTGTCATGCTTCATTTTCTGTTCCGTTTCCCCTCAGCTGCTGCAGAAATTGTCATGGCGTGCTCACACGAACATCAGAGTAATCTGTGCTGCGGAGCGGGAACCTTCGCCTGCGCTTGTCAGTGTTTTGCGAAGAAGAGTGTAGGTGTCGTGATGGATGGAGTGAAAGACCCGCTGCTGGACGTCAACGCTGTTTCTTGTTTGTGATCAGGTGTATCTGTGTAGGAGAGAAGAGGAGAGTAGGTGGAGGTAATAAATAATAACTCCAGTGATTGACATGTCAGGTTGGATAAGGACGGGGGGACCCTCATTAGCCGCATCCATCTTGAGCGCCATGTTTCTATGACGATGTCAAATGTGCTGCCTATTAGTGCCACTTATAGAGACGAGTCTCCCTGCAGGGAGGGGAGCACATCCGAGTGGAAGCCCTCGCTTTGGAAATCTCTCAGAGGACCTCTGTCCTTTCTACTGCATGTCATGTTTGGGTTCACTTCATAGGTGCATCATTTTCCTGAGACGGATGAATGTGAGGAGATTACTGCAAATGATTATCGCCTGCCGCCGAAGGCAATAATGTCTTTGCCTAGGTCTATGTTTGTTTGTGTCATGAGCAAAATATCTTAAAAAAATCACAGAAAATAAGTTTTACTCAGCTGACATCTAAAGCTTAGTAAGTTTTGTAATTATCTCGATTCAAATAGGCGCCCACAATGGTCAAAATGGTGATAACTTGGTGAGTTTTACAGATATGAGCTACAATCTGGAGTGGTAGTAGCTGAGACTGATCCTCTATTCTATATTCTGAGGGATAACACCTGAGCCACACAAGGATTCAGATTCAGTTTATTATTGCCATTGTCAATGAACAGGATTCACAGACTATAGGAACTTGCTTTGGTATAAAGGTGCGTATAAAATATAAAAGATAAAAGAAAACATATGTACACCAACCAGTACAATACAATACAATACAATACTCAGAAGAAGAAAAAAACGTGCACTGCACATGGAGTAGTGCAGTTAAAATACAGTGATACACTGTACCACACTGTGATGGAGGAGCAGAGGATGGACTCGATGATGGCCGTGTAGAATTGCACCATCAGCTTGGCCGGCAGCTTGGCTTTCCTCAGCTGTCACAGGAAGTACATCCTCTGCTGAGCCTTCTTGATGAGGGAGCTGATGTTCAGCTCCCACTTGAGGTTCTGGGTGAGGGTGGTGCCGAGAAACCGATAACAGTTCACAGTGATGATGGGGGTATCGTTAAGGGTGAGGGGGGCAGAGGGTTTGTGGCTTTGTGACGGATTTGATTGGTCTTGCTACTGTTTTTAAGTGCTTTACAAATAAAGTGGTATGATATGGTATGGTATGGTACCAGGGCTTAATTTGTAAACTAATCAATGCCGGAACGCAAATAGTGGGCCGGCTGGTGAGGGAGTGGGGTTGGGTCGGGGGTAGTGGAGTGGAGAGCGGAGGGAGCTTGTGGGTCCTGTGCGTAAAGTATGGCAAGCCAAGTGGCCCATTAATAGCCAGACGTGGTAAAAGTTGATTAATAGCCACTTTTACCACATGTATGGCTATTAATTGGCCACTTGACTTGCCATATAGATGAAGACACTTCATCCCTGCGGGACATGCCGTCCGCGTCTCTGTTGGGCAGGAGCATGTGCGCGAGCTGGTGCAACTGCTGTGTCCATAATATCCACTCCACAGACTGGACAGCGTCTCTTCTTGTTGTATTTTTAATAAATAATCAAAATAAAAATGTGCAATGACTTTGGACTTTTATGTGCGCAGATTTGAGTTGCTAGTTTAAGCAAACAGTTCCCGGATCTTGTTCCGGCAGGATCCTGCTCAAATTAAGCACTGTATGGTTCGGTACGGTATGGGTATGGTATGGTCAAATGTGTTTGAAACTTTACAGAACAACTGATTTTAATGTTTAAAGAAAAAATAAGTAAGTTTAATCAGGTAAATAAATCACACACACAAAAAAAAAAGTAAATCCTGTCATCTGGATGAATTCTTCTTGGAAGAAACATTTCGTCTTTCATCCGACAGACTTGGTCAGTCTGAGGCCTGCCAACATAATCTGTTGTATAAATAGCAGCTTATTGATGTGTTTCAAGCCAGCCTGCTGTGGAATGCCCAGAAACTGGCTTCACACGTGCAAAAAGGACCATCTGTCCAAAACTATCGATCATCATGCATAACAATCAAATGTTATAGACAAAATGACTTCTTGCTACTCATCCAACCAGCCTGTGGACAACGTACCTGACCAAAATGGTTCAAAAAAGGTATTCAGGTCAACAAATCACAAAAAAAGTTGTCATGTCATCTGGACAGATTTTAAAGTTGTGAAGAAAAAACAAAAAAAAATTGACAATTATGTTTCTGCGTTACTTTATGAATTACGACATATATGAACCGTTTCATATTTAGACTTGAATAATTTTCATCAGTTCTCAGCCACACAGCTCGGGCAGAGGACCCTTAACAAAAAGTAGTACATTTGAAGTTTATTTTTGCAAGTATACTTTTAAGTTAAGTATAAGTATATCAAGTATACTACACACCATACTTGTAGTGTACTAGAAGTACACTGATTTAATACTTGAAAGGACTAAATTGCCACATTTTTATAGTATTTTTAAGTATATCAAATAAAGTTTTTAAAAAGTAAACTTCAAGTACACTTCTTCATTTTTAGTGTAAAATAGTGTAAAATCAGTAAACTTGTAGGACACTTAAATAAAATACTTTTTGCTAAGGGGATGGTGGCAAGCCACATTATTTAGGGACGTCTAGACGACTAAAAACATTTTCAGTGTTTAAAGTCACGCTAATGAGCTGCACGTGTTAGCATTAGCCTCGGTTAGTCTGCTGTGTGAGCTCAGGCTGAACGCTGCTTAACTGAATCGTGGCCATTTCCCAGAACAACTTTTCATGTGTGAATGATTGTTAAACTTTATCTGACTCGTGGTGTAGTGAACTAAACGGTGACTGGACAGTTTGAATACATTTGGACGCAGCCCAATTTAAGATGGCTGCCATAGCTAACTTATAAAGCACAAAAATGGCTGGAATTCTGCTACTTTAAGCTAAAATTGGTGGTAGTAGCTGTGTTTTTACAACGATCATACTTTGAGCTTTACACATTCCACATTATATTTGCTTATAACCTTGGTGTTGACTGTTGGAGTCGACCACATTTATCTGTTAGCAAAATATCTCAGAAACCACTGATGGCAGCCAATGCTAATCTACACACAAATGGCTACAGCTCAAGAACTTGCACAGATATTAAGCGCAAATTTGGTGCGATAGCTGCTGAGATTTGTTCAAAACGCGTTCTGTGAATGCAAACATGGTAACGCTGCGAGAGAGTTTGATGTTTTGAACCACTTTGGCTGCGGCTGCCTCAGAGGAGTCAACGGGGGAGAGGCCAGGCCTCAGAAACCATCTTATCACCAGCAAACTGGTTGGTCCACTATGTGAGCGTGCTGCTTGCAGGACTCAGTTTGTTTTGGCTCCTCGGATTGATGAAGTCCTATGGATGAAGGATGAAACATCTCAACAACAAAAAAAGAAACCGTCCAGATGATCTGACTGAACTTTGTTGGACTGCAGGGTCTTGCACATATTTTCAAAGTTAGACAAAAACAGCATTATTTTCGTCATTTCTCAGCATTAAATGATTTTAGTTTAAAACTCGGTCATAAACGGTGGAAGCTGTGAGCTTGGAGTCTGTTTAGTGGGTGTGGCCTTACTTCACTGTGTTCAACACAATCATCTGAAGGTTCTGTGCACAGAAACGTTCAAAGCAGCAGGTTCTGATGGCTTTGTGAGGGTCATGTGTCTGTGTGTGATTTGGTTCTGCCTTCTCCACGCTTGTTGTGTTGTCCTCTTTGGAAGGTTGTAAGGATGTAATTACAGATAGCACTTCACACAATGAGAACCTGTTGTCGACTTCGCTGACGGTGTCTGCGCGGTTGTCAGCAACAGAAGGAGGAGATAAGCATTTCATTTGCATTTAAGTGATGTTGTGAAGACTGCTGCTGCAAAACACAAAAATACCTTTTATGATGAGAGTGCTGGGAAGCTCTTTTATTACAGCCCAGCCGTTGGGAGAATTGGCAGCAGTGTTAGAGGGGAAAATGGTATTTTGTAATTTATATTTTGAAATGAAGACACATCTGAACTGATCTGTGGTTCTGTCCATCAGGTGGCTGGAATTAAAGGCATGCTAATCGCCAACAAGAGACAGGACAACCAGGTGAAGACCTACATCACCTACAATAAAGGCCGGGACTGGAGGCTGCTGCAGGCTCCTGCTTCCGACCTGGACGGGAACGACGTCCACTGCATACTGGTAAAATACAGCGCCGTATATCTACAGACGCTCAGCTGTCAATGCTGCTTCTGTTTACAGAGATGCGACGTTGACACGGCCGGTGGAGACGCGCCAGGCGTAATTAGAGTTTATGATTTAAAGTTAACAGCGTCCCTTTTATTGTGAGGCATACAAACATTAAGCCATTAGCTGTAATTAAGCTACAAATAACAGCTTTACTTGATCTTGCGATATGTTTGGCGTCTGGTTGTTTTGCACATCTGTCAGAAGAAACCTGTTGCTGAAGGGCACACCTGAGGGTGCAGTCGCTGTGGAAATAAGAAGCACGTCTGTAAAACTGATCAAATTGACTCAAGGTCTATAAAGAAACCAAACAAAGTCTCTAAATCTGGACTCTTTGTGACAGCCTGCAGAAGAAAAATGCCCAAGTTAATAAATAATTCATATTTTACAAAACATTAGCTTTATTTTTTGATGAATCTGTGGTTCCACACTTCTTTTCTGATACAGCAAGATGTTCCTGTAATAAGTTATGGTTGCACAAAGAGTGAGATGGATCCTTGAAGGTACATTTTAGGTGGCTACGTTACTCAAAGTTTGTTTACTGCTCTTGGCTTCAAAACGTGGCAACAAAGTGAAGGAGTGGATGATGTTCCAGAAGCTGAAGGAACAAATGAGCCAGATGTGAAAGACTAAATCCCTAAAGAGCCCGTTATTAATGGTGACTGCCAAACTACTGGAGTACGTTGGTTTTGCATAACGTCTGACAAACTCAACTCCACCCATCCATCCATTTATCCAAGTTAAGTCAAGTTATGTTTATTTGTCATATGCAAGGTTAACGGTACAATGAAGTGCTCAGGATGAGAAGAACCGAATTGACACACTAAAAAAAAAAATCAAAGAAATGCTAAAAGCATGCAATAAGTGTACAAAAAGTGAAAACGTAATTATAATATTTACTAGATCCTAAAGAGAAAATAGTAAACAAACAGCATGGTAGAAATTTAATGGTGCAAGCAGGATTAATTTGTATGAACAAGTATTTTAAGGTAGTAATATAAGCTAAAATGCACATATTACACATAACTCACATGTACTACACAGGTTGTGTGACAGGTTATTGCAGAGGCAGTGAGTGACATTGAGATTGAATTATGATGGTAAGGTAGTGACATAGATACTGTATCATCCATCCATCCATCCATCCATCCATCCATCCATCCATTATCTTTACCCGCTTCTTCCTTTTTGGGAACCGGGGGTCACTGGTGCCCGTGCCCAGCCATCAATGTGCGAGAAGCGGGGGACACCCTGGACAGGTCTCCAGTCCATCACAAGGACACAAAGAGACAAACAACCATTCACTCTCTCTCTCACACCTAGGGACAATTTAGAGTTACCAATCAGCCTAACGTGCATGTTTTAGTCTGTGGAAACCCACACATGCACAGAGAGAACATGCAAACTCCACCCAGAAAGATCCCGGGCCGGGATTTGAACTGGCAGCCTTCTTGCTGAGAGGCAACAGCTCCACCAACTGCACCACCGTGTGCCGCCCACAAACTCAACAAAAAAAAAATAAAATAAAAAAATAAAGAGAGATTACATAAAGTCCTCACCTATCACAGGGTTACGTTTTATTAGTTATATATGTTTAAGGCTTTATAAACCCTTCCCACTCTCTTATAAACACTTCGTATGCTCTTGAACTCTTTGGCGCTGATGGTAAAGACTATGATGACGAGATGAGTGTACAGTACATACAATATAAAAAAAACGGGTTTAAAAATCCTACGATACAGTGAAGCACAAGACGTGAACCGCAATATAGTGAGGGACGACTGGACATATTGAATCATCAGTTTTGACTATGATGGTTACAAGTACAACGTTTTGAATCTTGTGCAATAATCTGACGACGTACAAAAAGTCTAAATAAGTTATCTTATTTGTTCGTCTTATTTTTGCCTGATCATAATGACCCAAACAGTTTGTGGTACCTGTCATACGTTACACAGAAAACAAGCTGAGGAACAGATCTGAGTGCAGCCGTGCACAAACAAACCAGGTCGAATTCAAAATTGAATTACCGTTCGGTAAATGGTAAATGGACTGTACTTGTATATCGCCTTTCTATCTTATGATACTCAAAGCACTTTACACTACAAGCTGTGCCCTCATTTACCCTTTCACACAGCTCTATACTAGATCTCTACAAAGAATAATAATAGGGACTGAGATGAGGTAGAGGTTGGGCAGCCGACCTGGGATCAGAAAGTTGCAGTTCGACTCCCAGCCATTCCCACATGTCATGGTGCCTCTGAGCAAGACACTTAATCCCTAATTGCTCCCTGGGCGATTACATAGTTACCCACTGCTCCACCTGTGTGTATCTCAGGTGTGATGGGTTAAATGCAGAGAACTAATTTCGTCAATGTAGGGGAACATACGATGACAACACATCAGTGCTTCAGATCACATTCATACACCGTTGGGACACACATCAGAGGCAACAGGGGGTTCAGTGTCTTGCCCATGGACACTTCAGCATGTGGCTGCTGGTGGAATCAAACCTCCATCTCTCGCATTGGAGGACAGCTGCTTTAACTTCTCAGCCACAGCCGCCCCAGGTGCAACCATTGTTTTAGTGTTAATTCAAAAAACAGAGAAGATAAGTTTAACAGTCGAGTTCAACCCAACAATGTTCAGTCAGGTCATCTGGACGGTTTCTTTTTTTGCTGAGACGCTTCGTTCTTCATCCAAAGGACTTCTTCAATCTGAGGAGCCATCAAACAAAACTGATTCCCACAAACAGCATATTCCACAATGGGGGGGGTGTACTGTTTTCTGGTGCTAAGATGGCCTCCAGAGCCCATCCTCTCCCCTGTCAACTCCTCTGAGACAGTCATGCCAAAGTGGTTCAAAACGCCAAAATTCATGCTCCAAAAAAGAAACCATCCAGATGACCTGACTGAACGTTGTTGGATTTTATACCTGGATTATTGAGCATGAACTTTGGTGTTTTGAACCACTTCATCATGACTCTCTCAGATGAGTTTACGGAGGACAGGGTGGGCCCTAGAGGCTATTTTAGCACCAGCAAGCTGTTTGTTTCCACTATGGAGTATGCTGTTTGTGGGAATCCATTTTGTTTGCTGTCTCCTCAGACTGAAGAAGTCCTTTGGATGAAGGACGAAACGGCTCAGCAATAAAATAAACTGTCCAGATGACCTGACTGAGCATTGTTGGATTTTTTACCTGGATTACTGAGTTTGAACTTTGGTGTCAAGTTCAACTTTTTTTTTTTTTTTTCCACTCAGATTTCCTCTGAACAAAAAGTACCAAATCTAAGACTACGTTACGTTCAGTCCAAACTAATCCTCAGGAAGTCCAGCTCATGTCAGTGTAATCCATTTGGCTTCAGTCTGTCAGTTTTCATAAAAAGCCAACTTGTAAATAAAAGTGTAGCTTTAGACGCCAACAGACTGTTTGCTTTAAGCCAACATTCTGACCGTTTAGCAAACACTGGACAGCGACGGAGACGACTTCCAACAGAAACAGACTCGCGATGGGAAGCCATCTGCCCCGACCCGTTGGGTCGAGAGCAGTCGAGTAAATGAGACCGACTCGGTGCCAGAGTGATGGATCCAGATCGACTGCATGTGTTAACATTCTGTCCTCATTAGACGGCCTCCCTGCACGTAAAACCAACAGGCTGGCTGTTAGCAGGAATCATGTTTTGAGACATTAGCAAGACTTCATGCTGCTTAAGAGGTGATTTCAGAGCCGTGCGGTGAGGTTTCCAGGTTTTCTGTGATTGCACATTCATGTGACATTTTAATTACCGCCATAGATTCCTTTTGATTACCCTGCTCGGTCCCGCTGCTTTGATGTCCTCACACTAGTGACACGCTGTCTGTTGGCAGGATGAAGGCAGACATTGTTTTTTTGCTCTGTGAGCAACTCTAATTGTATTCTGTTGTGTGCATGCCTCCGAGGCTTGGCTTCATACTTGAATGCAAATTGTATTGCTCTTTGTATTAATGACAGATTAAATGCAATTAGTGAAACTTCTGAAAGCACCAGTTGTTCAGTTTTGGAAGACTACAAAATAAGGCCTTTACTTTATAGTTTGTCGTTTGTTTTTTTCTGTGCTATAACTTTCAAATAAATGGACTGTGCTCATGTAGCGCCTTTCTATCGTATCAAGACAGTCAAAGCACTTTACATTCTGTGTCATCATTTACCCATTCATACAGCACTGTACTATATGTGTACAAAGAATAATCCGTGCTCTAGATCACATTCATGCACCGATGAGACACGTATTGGAGACAATGAGGGGTTCAGTGTCTTGCCCAGGGACACTTCAGCATGTGACTGCTGGTGGAATCGAACTCCCAACTCTTGCATTGGAGGACGACTGCTCTAACCATTCAGCCACAGCCGCCCCAAATACCAGATCTGAATTTCTTCTACCTGTCAATTAATTAAATAGTGTAAAGTTTCATCACACGTACTGTCAACATATTCATAAATTCAACCTTAAAAATGTTTTTTTTTTCCACTCTGCACTTTTAAATTTTAAATCTGCATGCATTATTTGTTTATTTTCCTCTTTTTCAGCCTTTTTGTTCCCTTCATCTTCAACTGCAAATGTCAGAGAATCCTTACGTGTCGGGAACGATCTCCAGCAAGAGTTCAGCGCCGGGAATTATCGTAGCCACAGGTGAGCAGGACCGCTAAACACCAGAGCGTATCCACAGAAACATGGGCTACAGCGCACATTTAAACTAAAACCTTAATTCTAATAAGGTTCAATAATTGACTCAATGAAAGAAGGACAACTACAAGAACAAGAAGAAGAACAAGAAGAACAACATCAACAAGAACAAAAAGAAGAAGGTTTTGATTTTTAACAAAACTTTATTTACACAATAAGTTAACACAACAGTGTTAAAAAACATGAAGAAGAACAACAACAAGAAAGAACTGTTCATGTCATTGACCTGATGACCCTTGTGTGGTCTCACTGTCTCAGCAGTTTTGTTTTGTTTTTTTGCTTCTTTTAGCGGAACTCTCTGAATCCAAAAAAAGTTAAAAACAAAACAACTGGACTTTATAACTGAAGACGTTTCGCTTCTCATCCGAGGAGCTTTCTCAGTTCAATGAAACAAGGAGTGTGGGATTCAAGTTATAAAGCAGAGTTGTTCTGTAAGCTTACATAATAGAGACACATGCAGATTGACTTCTCACTCCACAATAGAGCAGGGGTGTCAAACTCACTTACAAAAGGGGGCCAAAATTAAAACCTTTTTCAAACTAAGGGCCAATTTCAGAATCTACATTAACTCAAATCAGATACTCAGCATCTTTTCTTGGTCACAGGTTCCTCAACAAGAATTTGATTGGTCTCATTTGATGTTCTCTGTTGTGCTTTCAACATCATAATCAGAGATTACTGAAAAAAATTAAAGTGACAGAAGTATTTTACATTTCACATATCATCTTGGGGGCCAGATAAGATTTCAACGAGGGCCACATTTGGCCCCCGGGCCTTGAGTTTGACACATATGCAATAGAGGATCGTTAGGGTCGTTGTTAGTCCCATCCACAGAGGCGCCACTCTGGTCACATGGTTGAAATTCCTGATAGGTGTACATTGGTGTAGTCTACGCGATACTCAGGTATACGGAGTATACCCACTAGAAAAGCTTAAGAATTTTAGTATAATTTTAGTTTAATGTGTCCGTAACAATCTGTCGGTATGCAGAGCTTTGCTTTGATACAGTTTTATAAATTCTTTAACACGTTTTTAATACAAAGCCAACTGTTGTACAAAGTGTGTTGTACATTTATTCAAGTATAAGCATCAGAGAAATTTGAAAATGTTCAACATGCTTAAGAATTTAACTACATTATTACATTGTACTAACCAGTGTACATTGATTTCTAAGCACAGTATACCCACTACAAACACCACAGTGTGAAACTGGCCGGGTTTGCAGCTTTTCTTTCCTGTGGTTTGAGATTTGAAGGAGGCGGCTTAGCACCGGAGAGCATTGCTGATATTTTCATTCTGAGTTGTTCTGCCTCTGTTTCTGCCAAGTTGTTGTTCCTAGTCGCAGATTCAGTGGCAGTGATCAGTTCCTCTCTGAATGTTTTTCTCTTCCTCCTCAGGAAGAAAGTTCTGGATCATGTTTCTACATATTTGGGGACACATCATTCAGTAATGTGCATTTGGCAGAAGGGCCTCACTTTGTTTTCTGATGTGTCTGCAAACACAACGAAATAAAGACAAATGAGGCAAAATACAGATGTTAGCACTAGCTTGCTTTTTCGACGAGAGTGTGCACATTTATGATTAAGTATTTGTTTATTTATTTTTTACTTTGTTGCGCAAAAATGCTGACTAAGCAGAAATCTCGGCGCCTTGGCTGCAGGGTGTATATCAGTGCAAGTTTGCTTTGGCACTGTGATTCACTTTGCCCGCTGCTCCTTTCAAGATGTCAGCTGGTGCAAAGATTATTTTACTAATATGACAAACAGTTCCAGTTCAAACACATGCCTATTTACTGAGTCATGGCCCAGATATCAGCGCGGGACAAGAAACCAGTTCACTCACTGCACAGACACCATCAAGCTTTGGAGTATTGAACAACTACAGCACAGTTGACAGGAGAGACGTCTCCACATCTCACATGGATGTATGCACAAATTAATATAAATGTATCTCTCTGGAGGTTAACTGAGGAACATAAATGAAGGAGCAGCAACTTGATCTGGGAAGCAAGCCAAAAACGAGATAAATCTCAAACATGTCGCAGTGCCTGTAACGTTTCATGTGCGTGACCTCATTATGGTTTTGCTGATCGCATACAGAATATGTTGTGTCATCTTCCACTGCAGGAAACGTTGGAGCAGAGCTGTCGTATAACAACGTTGGCATGTTTGTGTCGTCGGATGCAGGCAATAGCTGGAGACCGGTGAGATGCACACACCAGGATGTGACAGATTATCCCAGATTATTCCATTTTACCATCAGTTTACTGAGGACTTGGAATTAAAAGCATTAACACCTGTGTGTTTGCCAACTCGCTGACACAGCACTGAATAGATCTACTGGTTGCAACACATTTCTTGGAAGACTCATTAAAAAAAAAAAGAAGTAAACTAAACAAATTACAATGTACTCTGATTGTGTTTAAGTTTATGAACGGAGTCCTAAATGTTAAGAACGGGAAGAGCTTTATTTAAAGGTGACCAGATTTCTGAAATTAAATCTGGGGGCATTTTCAGCTCGAAGACAAAAAAATAATAAAATGTTTATCAAGATGAAATTAAGAAACGGGGTCAGTTATGGTTTAATTTATTTTTACATATTTATTAATGTTTAAACAATAAAAATCAAATGTAGCAGCAGGAATGTGTCTCTCCACACACATTTCCTGAGAGTAATAAAACAAGTAAAGTAATTGTAGTAGCAATGGTGTCAGAAACATTTGTAATGTGATGGATACAATGGTGGTGGTGGTGGGGCGTGGTCTGGGTGTCCCACGGAAAATTTTGAAAAAAGTAGATGCCATTTCCTGCATTCTGGTATATTTTAACATCTATGTTTACCTACATAAGTAAACACTTGATTCAGTATCTATTTTAAAGAACTTGGCACAATCCTCCCCCATCCCCCTGTATTGCGCTGAGCTAGCAGCAAGCAATGCAGACGCAGTAGCTAAGATGCTACAGAAGTAGCGCTACGCTTCTCTCATGCTTCTTCTTCTTCTGTTTTAAAGGCGGCACACTCGGCTCTTCTTCTCTGTCTGTAACGTTAACAGTAGCACGACCAGCTACAGTAAAAGCTTTTGTTTTGCGCAACATACTTGCGCTTTCTACCTGGCTACTGTAATAACAGTCTACACGCAACGTTTTTTTTTCTCGTTCATAAAACGCTAAAATCTGGGACATTTCCGGGGATAGCTTTAACTGGGGACAAATCGTCCCAAACGGGGACTGTCCCCGTAAATCTGGGACGTCTGGTCACCCTACTTTATTTCTTCACAGCTTTAAGTTAGCCTAAAACCAGCTAGCATTGCGAGGCTAGTCCATTGGCTAGCTAGAAAAAATATATATTGTGTTTTGTCAGCCACCAGTTATAATGTTACATCGTTGCATTTATAAAGTCCAGATGTCAGGACTCAGATTCATTCAACCTTTATTTATACAGGTTAATCCCGTTGAGTCTCGGGGAATCATTTACAAGAGAGACCTGAAGATAGAGACCAGGCTCAGTCTTGTTGACATTTAATGCTGAAAATTCTGCAGGCCGAGATGGTGTAGAGGCAGGGCAGCCGGCTTGGGACCCAAAAGTCCCAGGTTCGATCCCCAGTCACTGCACATCACGTGGCGTCTCTGGGCAGCACGTCTCATCCCCAAAATGTCCCCCGGGTGCTTTCAATAGCTGCCCACTGCACCACCTGGTGGTGGATGGGTTAAATGCAGAGACTAATTTCGCCATTGTATGGAAACATACAGTGCTGACATTGTGATGACATTATTATTATTATTATTATTTATTCACATGCAGACGCTGTAGCAACATGTTTTCTAACGCACCATATGTGTGCGTGACTGGTATCATACAACATAGGTGGAAAAAATATGTTTATTACTTCCGCTGGCCCAGCATTCACATACACAGCTGCCTTGACGGATCTTGAGTTGCTCACAATCGGATTTATTTTATCCAAGTTTCAAATTTAGGAGAAACACTTTTTTTTTTCTTTTCAACTGGAAACTTTGAACGTTTTAATTTGTAAGAACCAAATGAATGCAAAACTATTCTGTGTCCACAATAACATATTTTTATGTAAAACAAACTTTCATCTACACTCACACCATTTCAAACATGTTAAGTTGCGTGTTTTTGGCAAGTAAAATATATATTTTTTTATTAACATAATTTTAAGGTGACCTTATCTATACAATATTTCTTCATTTATATAATAAATATTGTTTTGGAAAAACAATGACAGTGCTTCAGATTTTATCAATGCCCACTCTTGCTTTGCCTAACGACGACTTTTAGGCTTTCCTAAGACCAGTTAAGCTAGTTTTTACTGTGCTTTTATCATTATACCAGTGAAAACAGTGGCTTTGAATGTTATCAGCCCATTAAATGGCTGTTATTAGTTCTTATCATCCCCATAGGTTGTGTTCAGACTGTCCCTTCTAGTAGGTTTAACAGTACATTCTTATCGCTGATAATATGCAGCTTAGCCCACGTGTAAAACCGTAAGGCTTTTTTTGTTAGCTGTATTTAACTATTTTTCTAAACCTAACCTTACACCTGACTCAGAGCACTAACGCTAAACATAACGCCCTGACCCATTATCAGTGATAAGAATGTACCTAAAAACCTACTAGGAGGTATACACAGGAGGGACGGTCTGAATACAACTTACGGGGATAATAACAACTAATAATGACCATTTAATGGCTGTTAACATTTGAAGCGGGTGATGAAAACCTGATATAACCAAGAAATAATGTTTTCATCAATGATTTTAACTGTTTAAATCCAAGAGACCTGTGGACAGTTGAAATGAGTATTAGAGAAGAATCTGTTTTTTGGAGTTTGCAGGTTTTGGAGGCTAGAGTCACATTTCAGATTCGGTTGCTTCAAAAACGTTCACAATTACTAAACATCATCAAGCAACTGTGCGTAACATATAATTTTCCTTATTTTTAAATCAAAAACCATTAGGAATCAGTTTTACTAGAACAGTTTAACTTTGTTAGAATAAATGGACGATTTATGTTGCGGTTTTTATTTTCATACTCTTCAATTTCTTGTTTTTGCTCAGATTTTTGAAGAGGAGCACAACATCTGGTTTTTGGACAGAGGAGGGGCCCTCGTTGCTGTCAAACAGCCGTCTGTGCCAACCAGACACTTATGGTATGTCCATTCAGAGATTTATTTTTGGCATTTGAACTTGCGTCTATTTCTATTTTTATTCTTTATTTTAAGGTGAACTCGACCTTTACGGTTTAAGGAAAGATGTGACGCTTGATTTTTTTGCTGCAGCACTTTGACTGTGGCGTCACCGTGTAAGATAAAACGTGCAGGCAATCTCATTTGAGAGCTTTTTTTCTTCTTCAAGCCACTTATCATTAGTAAGCAGAAGTGTAGACACCCCCACACACGTGCACACACACACACACATTGTGTTTTAGTGTTTCCATTAACGAGTTCCCTTCTTCTTGCCAAGTCGGATGCTTGCGCTTTGCTTCAGTGCAGACTAATCCAAGGGAGACCTGATCTGTTCTCCAGTCGTTTTTGCAACAATTTTGAAATTAGTTCTAGAACCGGTGAAGTGTGGCCTTCTGGGTTTTTGTCTCCTACCCAATTTAGGTGGGATGGAGGAGGAGCTTTAAAAAACAGAACCGCCTGTGCATCTCCACGGCCAGCGTGCAGCAGCGATGGAGACGTATTGTTTTCGCAGCCGGTGTTCTCTTAAACACTTCCTCTGGCTGAATCCTGTCGCAGGTGCACGTCGCCGCTTCTTCTGTTGTCGCTGCTTTTAGCTGAGTGACAGCAGAGAGCTTGTTGAGGCGACGGGGGATTTTTCTTTTTTCAAGCTCAGGCCTCAGCAGTGTTTCAGTCCATGTCAAATCCGGCTCCTTCGAGTTCTTCTCACCGCAGCTCCAACGTTGATAAGCTGTCAGGATCAATAAAGTCGAGGACTGATGATGAAAGTTGTCCAGTTTTCTTTCTTTTTTTTTTTTTGCTGTCTCATTCTCCCTGTGCACTTTTGTACTCGAACATAAAACAGTTCTATTCTCGTCTTGTTTTCCCACCTTCGTGCAACCTTTATACTCAGAAAGGGAGTGCTTTTCCCCTTTTCAACACTAAAACGTTTTGTCTTTTCGTGTTTTCTGAGTGCAGTTTTCCTGTTACCCACGCTGACTGTCTCTTAAATATCCCTTTAATGCTCAGCCTTTTGATATTTACCCAAAGCTACAGCGGCTAATTGCACATGGGCTCTGAGACTCGTCTGATGAGACCAGCCACTCATTCTGATCCTCACCTAAACCCTCCCCTCTGACCAGACTTTAACAGGGAGTGTCTGTTTCCGTGCCATCGCTGTTGTCAGGTTTGTGACAGGAATGTGTTCTGACACAGGGTCAGCTTTGACGAGGGGAGGCAGTGGACCCAGCACAGCTTCTCCTCGGTTCCTCTCTTTGTGGATGGAGTCTTGGTGGAGGCCGGGGCGGAGAACCAAATCATGACGTAAGTATCAAAGGTGTTACAACGTGCTGATCCTTGTGGGGTACCTTGAAAATGGGGTGAATGTGTCCCGATTAGTTTCTTATATTGGATTAGATTCAACTTCATTGTGATTGTTCAGAGTACGTACAGAGCCAATGAAATGCAGTTAGCATTTAGTCAGAAGTGCATATTACAGTTTTACTACCAATTATTTACAGATAACGTGCAGAGAATGAGTATGGAGAATAATGCTTTCAAATGTGAACATTATATACAACAGAGGCCAGTAGAGTTATTATTTACAATGTAAATGTTGGATGAGTATATGCATATATGTGTTTACTGACATGCATATATATATATATATATATATATATATATATATATATATATATATACAGCATATACAGAGTGAATGAAGTGAAATATGCAGATGTATTATGACAGCAGTAAATAATATATAAATACAATGCAAGTATGAATAATGCATTATTAGACTGTACAAATTCATTCATTCATGCAACATTTATTTATACAGGTTAGTTTCACTGAGTCATGAGTACAAATTTTTAAGAGAAACCTGTTTTAGACCAAAAAAAAAAAAAAAAAAAACCACAGATGAGGTACACACAACAATAAACAGTCATAAAAAGCATATAAAATGAAAAGTAAATAAAATGATATAAAAATATATGACTAAATAAATAAAACTGAAAATATAAAACAAAATAAAAACAAGCTACATTATGAAACGAGGTAAAATGCTACAAACAGGAACATGTCTGAACTGATTTTTGCATTGACTTTAACAATTGCTTAAAATTCCTTTGAGAAGCCAAATTCGACAGATTCAGATCTTTTTGCAAGTTGTTGTCCTCTTGCAGAATTCAGTCTGTACTGAGGGGACGCTGCAGGTAATGATGTTTTGAGAGCGCACGCTGTAGCTGCACTGATGACATGACATGTAGGAGGAGATATTTGAAGGCAGCAGACCAAGAAGTGTTTTATAGATGAAAATGTACCAGTGTAGAGTCTGCGTGAAGTTAATGATGACCCACTGACCAATGAATACAGAGTGCAGTGATGGGTACGGTATTTACAGCCAGTTATGAATCTTAGCGCTCCATGATAGATAGCATCCAACATCTGCAGGGTGCTTGCAGGAGCATTCATGCACCATAGTCAGTGGCCAGAAGGAAACTAGCAGTTACAAGGTGTTTCTTAACATTCAGAGTTAAACAAGATCTACCTATTTCTGAAAAAGAAACCCAATTTTAATTTCAGTGTCTTTATCAAGTTTTCGATATGAGGCTTAAAAAAGAACTACATCAACCAAGATTCCCAAGTATTTGTAAGAATCCACAAACTCAATAGGAACACCATTCTTAGATAAGATAGAAGGAAGGACTACCGGTACCAACTTCCTATTTGAAAACGTCCCTTTGGTTTTATCAGAATTTAGCACAAGTTTGAGATGGAACAAATCTGATTGGGCGATGCCGAATGCAGACTAAAATCTGGAAAACCTTAGCAACTGCTTTAGCTTGACAACAAAAAAACTGTATTGTTGGCATAGAAATGTAAAGATGTCAGGAATGAACTGACCTGCATTACTTATGTAGATTGTAATGAGAGTGGTTCCTAAGACTGAGCCTTGTGGTACACCATCGTTGACAGTTAAATAACTGGAAGAAGTACCATTGTGTTGAACACATTGCCTCCGGTCTGAGAGATAATTAGAAAACTAACCGATAGTGTGATCTGAGAAACCAATGTCTGAGAAATGGCATAAGATGTCATATCATAAATATACAGATATAATGAATATTTCAACGTTAAAAACAAAGTACTGTGTGTATTTAAAGTCAAGTTATTAAAGTGACAGTGATGAGTTCAGTAATGTTACAGCCTTGGGACAGAAGCTCTTTCTGAGTCTGTTAGTGAGCGGAGGCTCCTGTAACACCTACCAGATGGTAGGAGGTTGAAAAGTCCATAGTTAGGATGAGGACCTTCCTTGATATTGGCCAAGAGAGATCCTGAGAGAGGTGAATACCCAGAAACTAGAAACTGGACACCAGTTCCACTATAGATCAACACATAGATGGGGAGTGGGCCCTCCTGAAGTCCACGATGATCTCCTTGGTTTTAAGGACCAGATTGTTGTCCTTACACGATGCAGTCAGACGCTGATTTACATGGATGATGTTGGACTCGTGTTTTATTATTTATTCCCTAAATAAATAATAATAAAAAAAAAAACACTTCAGAGCCACATATAAATACCTAAACGCTTTAGTTCACTTTTATGGGAAATAGGTATTTTCATTCATTGCAAACTGAGACTTAAAGATAGAGCAAAGTCACATGACTGCCACCGTTTTATTTCATTGCAGTTATTGTTTAACAAATATTCTACACTATCACGTTTACAGTCGAAGCTAATTTGCAACGCACAACTTCAACAACGTAAAACAAAAATAATAAAACACTCGGAGATTAAAATGAATAAAACATTACACTTATTAGGACAATGCATAAAAAACATTTAAATTATTTCTAATATTTAATACATGTAAGAACTTATAACAACAACAGTTCCCAAGTTGTCTCTAAAATGTTAAAATTTAAACGAATCTACTCCAAAATTATTATTTACAGGATAAAAACGTTCATGAACTGCTGCTGAGGATATATATATATATATATATATATATATATATATATATATATATATATACACACAGAGCTGTAGCTTTGAATTTAAAGTCAGTTTCTTGATGTTTGTCGTCTGTCCGCAGCTTTTTTGGACATTTCAGTCACCGCTCTGAGTGGCAGCTCATCAAGATAGACTACAAGTCCATCTTCAGCAGGAAGTGCACGGAGGAGGACTACCAGACGTGGCACCTGCACAACCAGGTGACGCTGACCCTCCGTCTCTGTTGGGGCGTTAATGAAGTTCAGGCTGTAAAAGCGTCTTTTTAACAGCCCGTGGTGAATGTGCCCACAGGGCGAGCCGTGCGTCATGGGTCAGAAGCAGATCTACATGAAGCGCAGGCCTGGAAACTACTGCATGCTGGGACAGGACTACTCCAGAATCCTCTCAGCCGAGTCTTGTATTTGCCGGGCTCATGACTTTGAATGGTAAGACGCTGTAAGCCTTTGTTCAGCGGCTCTCTTCTCCGTAATTGTGGAGGGGGGGATTATGTTCCTCTCCATTGTCCGCTAAAGGAGAAGCTCATTAACAGCCGTGTTTGTTCTGCGACGCCGCCACACGTGTGGAAGCTTCAAATGAAGTGCGGGATTTTTTTTTAATCTGTTCAGGAATTTTCACTTTCTTCTGCATGACTTGTTTAACAATGAACAGCCTTCAAATATGATGGAGACGCAGCAGGTTAGTTAATGAAACGCTGCATCCAATAAAAAAAACAAAACAAATATAACCTTGCAATAAACAACTGCCCTTCAGCAGCAATTTGTTCGCTTCCAGTGCATCCGTCCAGCTACCATTAAATGGCCTCTTCAGTCCACTTAAATCTGCTCTTTAGATCTCATCCCGTCTGTCCGAGTCCTGTAACTTAACAAGCTGCAAACAAGCAAATAAATTGCACAGATTGAAAAATATGGTTGATTTGACCTGCAGTCAGATTCACTGTGTTCCTACATCTGCGCTACTGTCTGAATCATTTAATAACGACCAGGTTTAAAACCAAATCCACTGAGTGAATACACATTTAGTTGTTTTTTTGTAAGAGAGCTACTTTGACATTTGGTCTTGTGGAAACTCAAAATGACAAACTAAAGATACTTGCAACCCTTTAAACAAAATTATAAAAGGAAAAGGATCAGTGAGTTGTCTTTTTCAGTATTAAATAATTGTTTATTTATTTATTTATTTTTTAAAGACCAGCTAACAAAAGAAAAGCTTCTTCTTATCCAGTTCCATTTTTATTGTCCACTGTCACAGAGCGGAGTGGGGATTGGGGCCATCTGTGCATGTTGTGAGCTGAAAAACTTGAAAAATAAGTCATCCGCCAAATTCCATTGTAGTGTGTGGCTATAGCTAGATGTACAAAAGGTTCCTTTCAAAAATTGGGACGCCACATCCAAATCCAACAATGCTGCTGCCATGTATGTATACATGTGAACCTTATGAGATGGATAACTTCAAAAACAGGCAACATGCTAACTTCCATTCTGGTATGAGAGGTCACCATGCAGCCAAATCCAAGATAGCCACCATATATATATATATACATATATATATATATATATATATATTATTGAACTCATCACAGTCATTTTAATAACATATTTATTCATCCCAGAGGGAAATCATTTGTTGTTGTAACTTGTTATCCTCATTTCATCAAGAGATGTTATAGATACTGAGGCTGTAAGCAGGAAGGATCTCTTGTAAAGGTCCATCCCACAGCAGATCCGAAGAAACTGGCTGCAGATGCGTCCAATCCGTCCACCCAGACTCGGCTGGCCTCTCGGTTCCCCCAGGCTGTAGGACCGCCCAAATGCCGGGCAGAACTCCTCCCAGAGCGATGGCCACTCCTCCCAGCAGTCTGCCGAGTTCCTCGTCGTTGCGGACAGCCAACTGTAGGTGTTGAGGGACGATCCTGTCCTCCTGCTGTCGTGAGCCGTGTTTCCTGCTAGTTCCAGGTTCTCAGTGGTCAGGCACTCGAGCACAGCCGGCAGGTAGATGAGAATGCGTCCACAGAACATCCTTTTCAACTCATTTGAGATTTGTGGCTGTAGTTGAGATATTATTTGAGCTTTTGAGATGTTGATCAGCTGCTGTTGGTTGTAGAAAGCTGACTTGTTGCCATGGTTACACATCATAACAAATGTCCGAAAATAAAAAAGTTTCAGTAAAAATCCTTCCAGCTGCACAGCATCCGATACCAGAGGAAATAATCATCAAAAAATGCTATTTACATCCAGAAAAAGAGGAATTAAAGTTTCCAAAAGCAAAATGTCAGAATGAAAGTAACAGAGCTGCTCCAACATGCAGCCACCTTGAGTGGTGCAATT